ATACGAAAAATACTCTATCGTTTCCTTCAACTTCTTGAGACGATATCTGTTTATATTCACTTGAGCTGATCTTTATACCCAAGTTTTGTAAGTTTCTGGTAGTCTCGAAACTCTACTTACATACGAAACATTTTAGGAATAAGCCTCTTTAATACATGGGTTTGTAATGTTGAAATGTATGTATTTCAGAGTCCCAATCACTGTTTTTTCTAGATTGTGGAAGAACTGAGTAAATGCGACTCATAACGCTCGCAAATGGGGGTTTCCCCTTTACTCGTATATTCACTTGCTAAGGAGCTCTTCTCTCTCCCTTTGCAGGCCATAGCAATTATATCCTAGCGCAACTGAGGTAAGCCAAACATGTGGCCAACTGTTGGCGCTAGGCTCTAATTGATGCAATCAAAGAAGTTGTGCCATGTCCTCTTATCACCCTGGCAGCCAGACCCTCCAAATGATCCGACAAAAAAGTTCCTGCCCTTGCCGTCTACTAGATTTCTCCTTGTAGCGTTAAAATGTACCAAACGTTTTCGATAATTGACCCGACTCGGCTTGTCGGCTAATGAACCGGCCGAGGTTTGTGGGACTAATTAATCTCAAGAAAGGAGACCTGTTGGCAACCCTAGATGCGCCCGTATCCAGATTAAGGCATGTATTGCAGTCAGATGATGGTGGTGGGGATGGCTCCACTTAACTAGACTACGTTATCACTAAGGCATAGCAACGTTAGTGATAGGGAGCATGTAGGAGTAGTAGGAGGCTATAAGTGGCCTTTCAAGGCGTCAACTAACTGGACAAGTTAGGTAGTGAGTAGCGGTGGTTGGGTGCAACGGAGTTGAATGTTACCAACCCTAGGTTTGTACCTTGTCTAATTGCAATCAAGAAAGGAAAGGACTTAGCTCGGTGTGCAAAACCACATGGCTATGAGTCTAATTTGCATAGGAAATAACTTTATTGAGGCATTGAGTGGGGAAAAAGTTCCAAAAATAAGCGATATGATTAGCAAAATTCCTATATACTAGTTAATTCTTTATTACGCAAGAAATAGTCAGTCGTCTAATTCCCAAAGATTCTTTTAGAGACTAGTTGGCAATACTAGAAACTAATTGGCCCTTAGAATTTTCTTCTTATCATTCATCTCATAGTTTGAAGTAATTATAATATTTAGTAACTAATTATAATTTCCAGAGTGATTTTTTTTAATTTTTTTTCCATTAATTATTTCTCTTAGTTGAAAGTTGCGCCAGGAGTTAAAATTGTATTGTGCTAAGTCTCCAAATAATTCTCTCCTTTGTGTCATTTTAATCTGGTGGTAATTTGCGCAAAAACCGTCCAGAAGCACATAATCCTGGCATGTATGCGTTCCAAATGGAGTTCAGCCAAGATTGGTGTTCAGAAGTGTGGCCTTCTTCTGTGATTGTTAGGGGGACTTTGATTTCGTGTGAAAGTGAATGAAGAAGAGATTTGTTGGTCGATCTCACCAGATGAGGACGGATGATTCTCTTTGTACTGCAGCCGTTTGGCTTTTATACGATATTCCTGTTGACGCAGTCCACCAGACTTCCTCCCTCGTTTCGGATGAAAACGTGCTGAGCTTTCGTCCATCACATGATGGACATCATCAGAGCTGGGTTTCATTCCTGTAAGAGTCTCACGTTAAAACTAGCCCAAGAACACTGTCCGGCCTTAGCTTACCTCTTATATAGACTTAATTGAGCCAAAAGAAAATTAAAAATTAAAAACCTAGATAGATCGAAATAGAGGGGTTTGGTTAATTTTCTTTCATACTGGTCCTATTGTTTTTGCTCGATTGTATGAGTATGTGTATTTGTGCGTGTTAGCGTTTATATGCAATACGGCTCATAGTTCACACTTGTCAAAGTTTTAATCTCAGGTCCTGATCCTCAAGACCTAATGACCCAAGAGAAAGTGTTAACCGAGACTGCGTAGGTCCGTTGACAAGTATGGTTGAGATGATGAGATATGAGCTTGTATGAAAATCAAGTTAAGAAACCACTTGTCCTGACCTTTCAGTCTAGGGTCATTAACGTTTAATCCCCCAAGGAAAGGCAAGACTGTTTACGGACTTACGAAGTCTAGGTCAAGGGTTTCTCTTGGGTCAAAATAGGAGATTAAAACATTTGAACCGTTATGCATATAGACGCTAACACGCAAAAATACACAAACTCATACATTCGAGCAAAAATAAGAGGACCATTATGCAAGAAAATTATCCAAACCACTCTATATCGATCTGTCTAGGTTTTTAATTTTCTTTTGGCTCAATTGAGTCTTTATAATAAGTAAGATAGAGCCGGATAGTGTTCTTGCCATAGTGATAACGTGATACTTTTACAACAATAACACCCAGCTCTGATGAAGTCCATCATAAGATGGACGAAAACTCGGCACGTTTTCACCCGAAACGGCGGAGGAAGTCTCGTGGACTGTGTCAACATGAAGGCTGCAGTACAACGAGTTTCATCCGTCCTCATCTGGTGAGATCGACCAACGAATCTCTTCTTCATTCACTTTCATACGAAATGAAAGTCCCTCTAACAATGCTATCTCAAGAGATTCATCGAAACCCAGTTTCTCTTCTTCTGTCATCACAAAAAATTTAAGAGGATATTATTGTCAACAAATAGATGAGGAATCAGAAGTGAAAGAAAATCGTTTCTAAACTTGGATTTAAATACGTTTGTATAGTGAGCATAACATGATCACCTATAATCATAACACTCTTATGTCAAGCGGTAAAAGTTTAAATATAAACACCAAGTAGTTGTGGCCTCTAATTTGTCCGACGCATAAAAGTGTTTTCTGACCTCGTTTTCGCTACTTGATCGTGCTGTAAGGGGTAGCTAGTTGGACTCACCTTGTCCGAAGTCCTCAGCTGTAGTATTTAACATAATTTTCAGCATCAAAACGTGGTCTTGGTAAATCCTCAGATGTCTTGCCGGCCTCGTGGTCAGCATCGTAGTGGGCATCGTCAGTGGGACCTCCGGGTCTCAGCAGCAAGCTACAACTTGTCAAAGAAACAAGTGAAGTCAATTCTTTGGTCAGCCTTTCACACAAAGTTTGTGATATCACTCCGCTTTCTGTCCTGGCCCATCTGTCACCATTATTCTCTTATCCCACTCCCGTCCTATCACAATTTCTTTCTTTTTGTACTCTATTCTTTGAGAGACTTGTCCTTTCTTCCCAAAAGGTGCTCTCATCCAGGGCGGACGGCAGTTTCGACGTTGCCTACGTCTTATCAACACCCCCAGCGGGTATCGAACCATGACAGTACGAAAAATAGGTCGTGTATTCGATTGTCATAGCAAATATAAATTTTCTTCATCGACAATTCCCCTAAAGAATATGATATGGGAAAATGCCTGACTTTCCTTGAAATTCACATCCGCACTGTGACCAAAAGGCCTTTATGGCAATGTGGCGTTATGGTTAACGTGTCGAGATTACACATTGCACCGTCATGGTTTGACTCCCGCTGGGGGAGTTCATAAGCTCTAGGCAAGGTCAAATCTGCAGTCCAAGCTGGATAAGAGTACCTTATGGGAAAGCGAGGATATGTCAAATTAAATGGAAACGTCAGCTCTACTCATATGATTGTGGGAAAACTCAACTCCAAGTTCTTCATCACCTCAAATGAAATAGGATATAAATAACTCATACATGTGATTTACCGCTATTAACGAAAGCATACTCAAAATGAAATATATATATCCTTACAAAAAAAACATAAATTGGTTGGGCATTTACCTCTTCGTGCTAGAGGATGCACAAAATTTAGAACAAACTAATTTCAACATCCGTTTTTAATACAGTCTTTAGATTGTCCTGTAGGCAAGTGTCCGCCAGTTTCGAAAATTCCTTCACAATGTGGCGCCAGAAAGAAAGGTCACGCACACCGCAGGAATGCAGCGCCGATGGAGCTAGACGACAGATTCTCCATCTATCCGGACCAAGACACAATGGCTCTAATGGCCCGAGCAACATGAGTCTGCGGTTTCGTACACAGGCAAGCGAGACGTCGTTGCAACAAGCGGAGCTTCCAAGTCAGTAATAATTAAATTGATGAATTTTCAACAAACACTACAGGCTTTTATGCGAAAACTTGGTTTATGGATGCTGAAGATAGCAACTTTGTTGTAAAACTAAGCGAGATATCGATATCAAGTATACCGCTGGCATATATCTTTTAAAGGCTTTACATTAATTCATTCTAAATAAAACCTATTTTCCCTGAATTCAGATTAAATAAACGAACATCGACATAAACCGAAGTATTTAATTCTTCCTACACACATACGTCAGAATGGTGCTAGCCAAATAGCATCAACACACTGAAAAGTGTGCAGATATCTCATTAAGCGAAGTGGGAATACAGAGTGAGGATAAATCAGAGACTAGCATTGCGACCCTTCCGAATGACTATCTACGATTGATGTTGGACTACCTTTCATTTCGTCTGAAGAGGCGAGTGGGAATGATTTGTAAGTTGGCCTCACC